TTATTATAGTTCCTTTCATGTCCTCTTCTCTTACCTGTCAATATAAAAAAAGACTATCACAACACTTAAAATACTATTTTAACGGCCACAATATTTCTTGCAACAGTTTCAAAACCGCTGCAAAATTGTCATGATTGCAATGTTCTGCAAAGGCATTTCATGACAATTTCAGGACTGTTGGGGAAGATATTTGGAAGTGTTGTATATAGTACCGGTTATAACTACCGCAAGAATACATAATAGATGCAGTTATAACCACCACTGTGGGCTTAAAATAAAAATTTACTACATATTTTAGGCGGTTATAACCGCCGCAAATTTGTTGCAATTTTGGCGGTTATAATCGCTATAATTGCTCAACAATTTTTTTTATAAACTTTTTTGCAGTAGAAGGCACATGAAGTTAAGATTTTAGATTCACATATAGATAGCAACTTTTTTGTTCTTACTATGTAGGTAACAAGGTGGAGAAAACCTATGATCTTTGCAACATAAACTGAAACGCGATTGATTTTAGCTATCTTCCCAAACCACAATGTCTAAAAATCTAATTTCTATAATGGTACAAACTTAAGTTTATTTGTTTTAAAATGCGTGTGTTTGTAGAAAAAAATTGCATTTTCTTGTATGCTCTGTACTTCTTATATGCACTAAGGCTTCGTTTGCGATGATTTTTTTCATGCTTCTTAAAACAGATTTTTAGTTCGAAATTTTTAATTTTTGAACTTAAAAGCTGTTTTAAGAAGCAGTAAGAAAACCGTCCCAAACGAAGCCTAACTCATATGTATATGCATTGAAATATTGTTGTTTTGATTTTTTATTGTGCCTTAATAAAGACCACATGTTGTATAAGAATTTCTTCTTTCCTGAATATTCATCTCTCTCTAAGGACTCAGAACCAAGTTTCTCATCTCCACTCCATTGTTCGTTCCTAATTTCTTGGCCTTGCTAAAATTCAGAGGATGTAAAAGTTTAGAATAAAATGCTTTCGAGCCATGTAAGTACTGGAAATAACAAGAAACTTCTCTTTCTTTAATATGCAGGGGAATTTTATTTTTCTATCTGTTTTTACTGCAAATGATAGTGCTGGTTTGTCCAGCAATCTGATTAGAGTATTAATTTTTTTTTTTTAATGATGAAATCCAGAAAAACGAATATGTTATATTGTTTCTAAATTCCAACTTATCAAGTATGGATTACCGCTTTTGGAAATGCAAAAGAGTTTTTTCATGGTGTGTTCAAAAGTTTTAGAAGCTTGAATGTTGTGATAAAGGTTTTATTTTTTTTAATTTTATGTTTAAATTCATGAGCATTTCATAGGATAAACTGAAGCAAATGTGAATGGCTGTTCATTTGGCCCGGCGATCGAAAAGTAATGTTGATTTAAGTTTATGAGCCAATACCTTACTATTTTGCGGACAGTGGTGGCGTAGACTTCAACGCTTGATCGACAGAGAGGTAGATGAGAGGGATATTCGAAGCTTTCGTGGATGGCAATGGCGTTTCTTCGGCAGCAACTCGACGACGAAGGAGTCAAGAGGATCTATAAAGGAGAAGGAAAGGAGGGAGAGTTGAGTGGAACGAAGGCGTGGGGTTTGAATCACAGTAATATTCGAAAATTAGGACTCCTAAGTGTGTTTTTGAGATCTTCTTTAATAGCAGTTTTTACTGCTGGTATTAGTAGCAGCTAAAAGCATTGCTATTAGTGGCGGTTAAAACAGATGTTAATAGTGACGATTTAAAGCGGTGAGGAAAGAGCCCTTTAGCAGCGGTTTTCAAACTGCCCCTAATAAATGTTGCGCGAATATATAATTTTTTATAGTGTATACATCAAAATATACATATTTGTACTAAGAAGATAATCAAGTAAAGATGAATTCATCTCCAATTTTCTAGCTTCTAACAGTTACACTAAATAATTAAGTTATGAGTTAATTATCCCATGGCTTATTATCAAAACTTATAAAGCAATATAACTTCAATAATTTTAATTAAAATCCAAACTAATTATTAATTGTAGTTAAATAATTACTTATTAATTTCTAGTTATTCAGTGTTAATTAATGATGCCAAGTTCAATACAACTCATACATCTGAAATATTAATAAACTTAAATAAAATATAAATTAGCATTTATTTATTCTAAATGATTCATTAGTTAATGATTAATCAATTAATTAACCATTTATCGTATGCTTGATTTTTATAATTGTTGATCGTAGATCATTAGCGCCAATCCCCCGCTGGAATACCCATTCAAGCCTCCTCAACTTAAATTTGAGACATCGTGTTTCCATCCCAATGTTAACCAGTATGAGAACATTTGTCTTGACATCCTCCAGGACATGTGGTCTTCATCATATGATTGCCGAACAGTGTTGTTGTCTATCCAGAGATTATTAGGAGAACCGATTGGGCCGGATTGGGGCTAGAGGTGAGGAAATGGACACTGATAAGGTTGTGGTTATTGGTGGAGCAGGATTTGAGGGAGAAGGTAGGGAATTAGATCTTTGAGGTGGAGCTTCTGGGTCAGATTGTGGGTTTGATCGGCAAGAAGGATCATTTAGCTGTTATGTGTTGGAGCAATGGATCAAATCAGGCAATATCACGAATTTCGAGGCGACAAGTTGGTCGCGGACTCGGAATAGGACAAGTGTAGTAACGATGTCGCAGGTTGGAGCATGCACGAGTATCCGAGGAAGACTGGCGAGTCGGTGCTAGAGTGTGAGATGGAGCCGTGGATCGGAACGCATGGTGGAGGCCATTCGCGAGCAAGATTGGGCTCGGTTTGGCAGGATTGCTCGTGGAGTTAAATAGCAGTAGGTGCACAGGTGATTCTTTGATTATAAATCTGGACCAAGATGGAGATTGTGAGGTGTTCGTCCAATTTTAGAATATGTGATCCTGCAAGTTACCACAACTTTGAAAATCTCTATAAATAGATGTCTATGTAATGTGTTGTTTGGGAAAATTTTGAATAAAGTTTTAGGTTAGATTTTCCTCCTCCAAAATCTATTTTTTCTCTCTCTCTCTCCCTTTCTCTCTCTCTTGCAAGAAGCTCAAGAAGAACTCAAGGAAGCTCTCAGGAACTTCAAAATTCCTAACAACCTTTGAACTCAATATCGATCAGTATCACAACTCCAAGTTTTTATTAATTTCTCCAAAATATAATTACTTAAAATCTTTCCCAATATCTTTGGAATTTCTCCCTTTCAATTTAGTATCTTACAAACAAATTTATTTTTATTTTATAAATTATTGTGTCCACCAATTCACTTGTACTGTCAGTCAAATTCCCCAAATTTCATGTAACAAATCAAGTCTTAACCTAGCCAACCCTTGCATAATTTTCATCACAATTGGATAGTTATGGTTCATCCACATGCTCACTTAGACACACCTATTGGTTTGTTATGTGAGTACCATTATGATCCATTTGAGTGAAACTATTATTAGGAGCAATAACAAAAGACTCCCATCTTCAAAAGGATATTGAAAAACTTGAAAAAATTGGTGTAGATCTCCATTTTGGATGAAGAATAAAAAAAGAAAAAGATCACATAAAGTAAAAAAGCAAAATTAATAAACACATTATAATTCTCAAGTTCTTCAATTTGATGCAAGTCTTCTCAAGCAAAAGATAGCTCTCAACAATTTTGGTAGATGATAGACCCTTCACAATCTTTCACTAAGAAAGAGCTACAAAATCAATCAAGTGTTCGGCCACTTGTAAGAAAGGCTGACTCAGATGCAAACTTAGACACAGGTATCGCTAAAATATCTCTAGCAAGTAAAAAGAGAATATTAAGCTTACTTGAATTAATTTTCCACCAACAGAATATATCAAAGCCCCTATTGCAAGATGTTCATATCAACTTTTTATAACATTCATATAACTTGCTCATAATCCAACATATTTTCCATCAACTCATTAACCGCTCATTGGTGTAAAAGAACTCATGACAATGTCTTACATATCCAATCATAATAATCATGTTCAACTTGTCAATATTGTCCCAAGATTTATTATTATTTTTCCTTCATTCCTGTTCTCATGGCCTTGTAATGAAGATGATGTAGATCATATTTTTAGTGCATGCTCAATTCCAAATACTTGTTCAATATAAGCTTAATGAGAAAATGAATTTGAGGCATTATAAAACTTTTCCAAGAAAGAGAACAACAACCTAGCATTATTCCAATCCAAAATTGTAGGAGATACACTTTCTACAATTTGCAACAAAATTTGATATTTCATCATCAAATCTTTCAAAAGCATTGTAATTTGTAAGAGCAAACTCTATTGATTTCGCAATCCAAAATGCATGATTCTAACAGAATTTGAAAAGATTTACCCATGTTACTCAAGATAACTTAAGGATTATTTTTTGAAGTTCCAATCTTTGGCGAGACATAAATCAGAAAGATTTTGCTAAGATTTGCAAAGATTCTCTCAAGATAACAATGGAATTCATGTTCAAAAAAGCCTTCTTTAACTTTGCCATCATAGTACCATAAATTTTCATAGTCTCTTGTTAAAGTTCTCATAGGCTACAGAAATTCATGTGCTTAAAAATCTTGAATGATAAACCATTCATAGAAATCAATTTGACAAGTGCTTCCATATAAATATCTTGATCAAGCTTCTAGTTAATAAGAGAATTAGTGGAAATGAGATCATCATACTCTTGTCCACTAAAGGAGATGTATGGGTAGAGGATTTAGAGTTTGGGAAGGTGAAGGAAATGGATCACGTGGATGACAAGGATTCTTTGCATGGAAGAAGAGTTATCGTCCAAGCCAAGATGAATGGATGGCTAGGGTTTGATGGTGAAGTGGGAAGGTGAAGAGCAGGGAGAGGGAGAAGGAAAAGGGACCTTGGATGTTTAAGGGGGCTAATGGAGAAAGTAAAGACAAGGATATGATTAATTCTGCAAAGTTCACCTTGGTTGGCTCTTAAGCCAATCCAAAACCTAGTTAACAAACAAATGCACAAGTAATTGAGCAACAATCCAAAAGTTCACTTTCATTCCATCATTACAATATTAAAAGAAAAAAATACAATCAATTTTCAAAAACAATAAACTAAAATCACATAAAATAAAATTTCAGATTGGTATTAATTCCTCCTTGATTCATGCCATGAGTCATGTTTGTAACCTCCCAAATTGAATTCTTTAAACCACCCAATTGAAAGCTAGGCTTGTAACATCTCATTTAGAATTTGAAAATTCTTCTTGAATGCTTATTAAACTGCCATTTCGATGATACTTGAAAAGATCTTAGAAGTCTCTAATTTGTACTTGAATTCTTTTAAGAACTGATCATGAATTGAATGATTTTCAATCTCCATATTTTGAATTTGAAATACAAAAAACCTTAATAGTGAATACAAAAATTAAACGGCCACATAATGGAACAAGGAAACCTAAGCTAATCATTAACACATGGATAAATAAAATCCTGTCATCACTTCATTGTTACAAGGTCATTTAACTAATTATTTTTGCTTTTGAATGTGATCTTCTGACTGGTCTCCTTTGCACCACATGTGATTGTCCTAAATCATTCACTCATTATCATAACTTGTGCTCTCTGTCTACCTCATCATAAGGACATGTAGCTCGAAACTTCAAACAATTCCACACGTTGCTTATACCATCGGTGCTCAAGTAACTAGATCTTCATCACAATAGTTACATGTGGCTTTGACTTTTACCCTTATTATTAAATCATGTATTAACTGCATTTGTTTCATTTATTATAGTAAAAGAACTGGATGATCAGTACCTAATTCCATTTGTGTCTCCGATGGTTTAGAAAAACACATTACAAAAAACCAATATCAGACAAGTGTATTTATATAGATGTTGAGAAATGAACAAATTGATTTATCAAATAAGAACCGTTTACCCAAGAATAGCTACCGCCGGAGAAGAGCCAGAGGAATCGTCCATCCGTCGTTAAACTCTGGGTGTCTGGCCGGCCGGCTTACCGGATCAAGGGAGAAAAGATGAGAGTCGAGCGCCGTATGAGTGCGACGCGACGCAGAAGGACGACGTGGGCTAGGGCAAGCAGGAAGCTTGTATTTGAGAATCGAATCAACTTGAACTCGCCGGCCGCGTGGCCGCGCATTAACGCGGCTAAGCCTTTGAAACACGGGCATTTGGGGTGGTTAGGATTCGGGTAACCCTAATAGACTTAGGATCCGACCCAATTGATCGGTTCTTGGCTATGTCCATGTTATGTCTATATGCGCATGACATGTATAATTACATGATATGTAACCGTGAGATGTGTCAAATATTCAATTAAATGTAATAAAAAAAAATTAAAGAATATGTGTCTTGAATACTAGAATTAGGCTTTGTTTGGGACGACTTTCTTATTGCTTCTTAAAACAACTTTTTAAAATAAAAAATAAAAAAAATTATCTAAAAAACTGTTTTAAGAAGCAGCAAAAAAGTCATCACAAACGAAAGCTTAGTTTTCTACTTATATGCCTCCAAAATCTAGATTGTCCAAATCACTCTAAGGGCATCTCCAACCGAACGGCAAACACTTGTTTGCCGTTCTTGTTTTGCTCCAACCGATCGCCATTTTTTACGCCATTTGATCCCGGATGAACAGTGCGACCCCAATATTGGCGTCGCACTGTTCACTCACGCCATTTTTTGCTCTCAACCGGAAAAACGCGCGAAAGGGAGGGCGATCGTTACCTTCTCAAAAACACCTAAAATGGCGTTCGATTGGAGCATCACCGTGCCATTTTGGAGTTTTGCGTTACTTTGCCGTGAAAAATGAAGTTTTCGGTTGGATATGCCCTAAGGAAGAGTCTGGATTGTTCCATTCGAGGGAGGCTAGCTAGATATAGTAGCCCCTAGGAAGACCTTAAGGCTTGGTAACTTTTGACTTTTGAGGATCTCCTCCTCAAGTATAGTCATTATGTGGGTAATACAACCGATGTGTGGGTTCTATCATTGATGCACATATGTAGCTAACATATTCATGATGATAGCTATTACAACTTTTGCATTAATCTCCTCAACCATAGTCATTATGGGTCTACTTACGACGACTACAATATTTTATGAAATTGATTTTAAAATTATTATGAAGAAAACAACTTTACTATTATGATTGTTTAAAGTAACCTTCTACCTTAAAATTTTTGAAAAACAGTGAGAAAACAATAATCAAATAAATTTTAGTTGTTTGAAAATTAAGATAGTTAAAAACATTGTCCCAAACAAAACCTGTGTAGATAGTACCACTGAGGGCATCTCCAATCGAAAAACTCGTTTTTCACTTCAAAATGTAGTAATTTATCTCCAATTAAACGGCATTTTCTCTCTTCTTTTGCACGCTTCCTGTGAATGTAACCATTTTCTCCTCTTCCCCGTGCTTTTCTCCTCTTTCGCAGCTTCTTCGGCAAATCCTGCATACCAAAATTTATTTGCTTAGGTGAACAGGCTGACTCAATATTGACATCGGACTGTTCACCTGCCGAACTTTAGCATGATATTTGGAGTTCGAATGGACTAAATGGCCTCATAATTAATAATTTAATATAAATATAACTATTAAATGATTATTTAAACATCCATATTATTACTTGCGTGTTGTAGCGTATCGTGGCTTGTTGATTTCAAGTCAAAAACAGATAAGCACATTGTTGTTTGTAAAAATTTAGTGGGAAAAATTATCAAAATAAAATTAAAAAGAAATATAAAAACAAAGCGATGTTTGTCTGAAGACGACGATTGAAACAATAAAAAATGAAATGTTAAGCTCATTTAGCTCATATTGAGCTTGAACTTGAGCTCGAGCTCGTTTAATAAGCTCGAACTCGACTAGCTATATAAAAATAAAGCTCGAGTTCAGCTTATTTGAAAAGCTCGAACTCGATTTGTTTATGAAGCTCTTTTTATTTTAATGTTAAAACATTAAGAAAAGAGTGTATGAAAATATATTTTAAAATCTAATAGCTGGACGAGCTAATGAGTTGAGTCGAACTAAGCTCGAAATCAAAGCTTATTTAGTAAACGAGCTCAATTATAAGCATGACCTCGAACTCGAAACCTATTATGCTCGACTCACGACTCTTTAACGAGCCGAGTTCAAACCGGCTCAGCTCACTTAAACCCCTAGTCATGCACTAATATTTTGACTACAATTAAAGGAGATCAACACAAAAACTACTACAATTGTTGTTGTGGAGATGCCCAAGCGAGGGCTTGTTCAAATAACTAGTATGTTCATTATGTCTCCCTCAAAGTGGAGAACCCCTACTTTTCCCCTAAGAATGTAAATGAAGACTCAGATGGACAAAGAGAGCGAAGACAAAGAGCCCGAGGAGCTAGCAATGTTAGGAGGTCAGTTTATCAAACTGAACAACAAGCCTGCTACAAGGAGCAGAAAAAATTTTTAATTAAAATTTTTATACTAAAAAACTGTTTGAAGAAGCAGAAAAAATTTCTTCCCAAAAGAAATCTTTGAATAAGCAATCATACATATAACAAAAGCTACTTGAGAAGAATCAGCGCAAGAGGTGTTATGATGTTGAGTGGTATCTAAGGTTTCGTTTGAGACGATTTTTTTATTGTTTCTTAAAGTAAATTTTCAGTACAAAAATTTAAATTTTTGTAATAAAAAATTATTTTAAAAAGCAGTAAAAAAATCGTCCCAAATAAAGCTTAGGAGAAACTGTGAATTTCTAAGAGACCCTTTGAAAAGCCTCGAACAAAATTTTGTAATAGCTGATGATGAAGACAAAGATAGTTGAGATTACTTCAAAATATAAACAAACTACTTTCAAGGTTCGCCAAACGTTAGTGATTTTTAAATTCTCAAATAATAAAAGCAGAGCTCCAAAGCATACCTCTAACGATGGCGATCAGACGCAATATTTGAGAGCTGATAAAGAATACAATAAACAAGAGATTCATTAGCTAGTCTTTCCAACACCTTACGCTCATACAGCAACAATAAAAACTCACAGATTCTCTCTTGAAAACCAATATATTTTCCTTTGAAGTTTAACAATATATTTTAATGCATCAAAGAAGACAAATTGACAGAAGACTTCTAGGTGGAACTTCCGCCTGTTCACTCCTATAACTCCTTGACTAGTTCAGGAAGGACCAACCCAATGACCAGTCCAAGAGGGGTCAGTTTATCAATACCCCTCTCTCAAAGACCCATATTGATTGCAAGGTGAAAAGATAGAAACTGCTGCTTCATCCTCTCCTACGGCTCCCTCATTAATTTCATCGTCATCATAAATGGTAAGAACCTGAAGAGTTTGATCCTTACAATTTTTGCCCCGGTGTATAACTCTCATCACATCTAGAAAATAGCCATTTCGCCCTCTTTTTTTGTAATTATGTCTCAGTGAGCTTCTTGAAATTTCCATCATGTCTTGCTCCTACAATCTTCGCCTTCGAGGTCTCCCTAAGAATACCCAGTGTCAGCTTCTTAGATGCCAAAAAGGTGGCGGCCATCCTATATGAACCTCCTGAGTTGCTGCCTCCAACCCTTCTCTCCAGGTACTTCTAATCAACCACTAACTAAACTATCTTCATAGCTTCTTCTAAATCATAAGGCCTCATCACTCTGACGGTCTCCAAAATCTCTAATTTGATCTCTTTCATAAAATTTTCCTCCAGTACAATCTCTGAAAGCCGATCCAATCTATTGGCCAGGTGCTAAAACTACTCATGGTACTCTACCATTGTCCCCTCTTACGTCAGAGCGAAGAACCGCTCATAAAAGTCCCATCTCCTGCTGGTTCGGAAACATTCCAAAAAGCAGCCCTTAATCTCCCTCCAGGTACATATGGGCCGCCTCGTATCCATCCAATGGTACTATACCAATGCTTTCCCCTCCAAACACTTCCTGGCCGTCGTCAATCTCTCCTCCTCCATAAATCTATTGACAGTAACATAACTTTCCATCTTGTATATCCACCCATACGTCTCTTCTCCCTGAAAAATAAGCATCTTCAGCTTCTCCACCCTCGGATTTCCTCTGTTCCCCCTGTTTCCTTCATAATTTCTCATTCTACGAGGGGTGATTCCCCTCAAATGTCCAAATCATCCCTTCTACGCTTTAACAAAAACCCTTCATAAACATCCACCATTCTCCTTTCAAATTCAGCACCCCTTCGATCACAATCAGTCATTCTCCTTTCAAATTCAGTCTCTCTTCTTTCAAATTCAGCACCCCTCCAATCATAATCAACCCATTTGCTTTCAAATTAAGCACCCACTCGCTCATGCTCAAATCCCTCACACCTCACTCCATACTCTCAACCCGACTCCTCCCTAGGAATATGCTCTAAGGGAGGCATTCTCTCATCTCACTCCAAAATCTCCACATTCTAATCTTCCCTTTGCCTTATCGGATTAGGGTTTTCCCCTCTTCCTTGGTCGGTGGCGATTTCCCTCACCTCTGACGATATTGTTTTGGTTTGGAACTCGAGCATCTTCCTCATCAAATCCTCCAATATAGCAAACTTCCCATCAATCTTCTCATGGATGACTGAAAATTACTTTTCGAAACCTGATTTTTTTTTTTTACAAAATCAGCTTTTAATTGACCAATCTCCCCTTCCAACACTTCTAACTTTCTTCCCGCCATAGATACTCAAATCAAGGCTTCTACAGCTAAAAAATAGCAACTTTGATGTGAATTCGGCCTCCAAACAACAAAAATCAGCAAAAACGAGAAGAAAAACGTAACATAAAATTAACGAGGACTTAAATTTCAACCTATCACACCGCTCCGATACCAACTTGATAGGAAGTATATGCAATTTCTACCAAATCAGAGAAACTCAAGAAGGATTTGAGGAAGAAGAACATACCACAAAACTTTTTATAACAATACCTAGGAAAGAAAAAAAAGGAAGATACATTAAGATCTTCAATTAGAGAGGAAGATCATACCAACTTTGTAGGAAGTAGATGCAATTTCTACCAGATTAGCTAACCGCAAAAAGAATTTGGGGAAGAAGAACATACCACGAAACTTTTCATAACAATATTTAGGAAAGAAAACAACAAGATACAGTTGGATCTTCAATTGGAGAGGAAGATCCGGCTCTCACAAACTAACTTCTGACTTTAACAAACTCAAAACATAAAAAAACTAAACCCTCGCACAAAAAACCTACTTAAAGCATGCAAACCTAGTCAATGCCAAAACAGCCCTCCTTTTCCCTCCTAATCACCCCCATCTCCCCCTTTGAAAACTCCCTCACGGGCCCCACCCCAAAGGGCGCGGAAGACTTCCAAGCAAAACTTCCACATGTTCACTCCCATAACTCCCTAACCAGTCCAGGAGGGACCGGTCTATCAGTTATGGATCAACCCTATAATGATTCGATAACCGTGGACAATTCCTAATCTCCAATTTAGGCAGTGAATTAATAATAGCTGGAGGGAGTTCTAGTAGATTAGGGCAATTGGAAATGAAAAGTTCACTCAGGCGAGGAATTGTGCAATTTGCTGTTTCAAATAACCTCTCCATACTGGGCATATCCTGTAAAGTAAAAACTTCTAGCAAAGGAAATGCAACAAAATCACCCATATTCTTCACTCTATGTATTGCTTCTAAGTGGAGATTCTTAAGTGCAGGAAGAAGCCCAAGTCGTGGAAGATGTTCACAACCCCTGCAATTAGAGAGTCTCAAATTTTGTAGTCTACAGAGGGAAGGATTATCTAACCAATCTGGAAGCTTTCTTCCATCATAATTCTCAATCCATAAACTTTTTAGTTTAGGATGAGGACACAGATGTTCCAATACATTTTCCTGATATCCTAGACTATATTGTTCATTAAAACCAGAATCACAGCTCCACTGCAATATCAACCTATCGATGTATTGCTTGGACTTCAAATCAGCCTCCTCAGCATGCCTTAAATTAATAACCTTTTCAAGTTTAGAGATGCGAAGATCTCCATGGAGGTTCAAGTTTTTTAACTCTCCAATTGAGCATCCAATGTCTGATGACACCACAAACCTAGATAATGTTTGAAGGGATTTCAATCTCCCAAGTCCTGGTGGCATGGATATCAAATCAACCCTTCTGCCCATAAATTCCCAATCAAGTTGAAGACCAAGATGTCTTAGATTAACCAAGTTGCAGAATTCTTTTGGTAACTCTAGAAGCTTATAGCACTCACTCAGTTCCAAAGTCTGTAAATTATAGAGCTTGCACATGGTATCCGGCAGTATTTTTAGCTGGGTGTTGGAAAGGTCAAGATACTTCAGATGGATCAAATCACAAACTGAGTCAGGCAACTCCTTCAATTCTGTACTGCTCAAATTCAACACCCTTAAACATTTCAATTTTTTAAAAAGATCACATGGAACTTGCTCCAAGGCCACCCTATCTTCACCATGTATTACGAGTGCACGTAGTCTAGAATTTTTGTAAACCTTTTCTAATGTCTTGGGCTCCATGTTGTGCTGGTTTAAAGATGCATAGAGAGCCTTCTCAAATTCCCCATGCAGAACACCATGAAAATCCACTCTCAAACATTTATGCCTAGAAACATAACTTGCAAGATCATGAATTGCGCCTGGAATTTTGTAAATGTTTTCATCTTTTCCATAGCCACCTAATGCATCAAAGAATAGACTCCACATCAGATCATTGAAGTAACCATAACCAATATCCTCGACCCGTCTTCTCCCATCTGCTTGGATGAATCCAACAGCAATCCATTGCAAGACTAACCTATCCCTATCAAACTCATAACCATGAGGAAATATTGAACAGTAAGCAAAACAGTGCTTAAGATGCAGAGGAAGATGCTCATAGCTTACAATTAAGGCTGATAAGATCTTGAATTCGTCCTTCTCTATGTCTTTTAAAGCATTTAGAGCAATTCTCAACTCATCTTCACTGGTTGCAGGATGTAATACGCCAGCCACTTTCTTCAAAGCAAATGGAGAGCCCTGGCATCTCCTTACCATCTGCCTTCCAATATCCTCCAATTTCTCCATATCAGATGAAGTCAAATGCCTTAATGCTTGATCTCGAAATAGCAACCAGCATTCTTCATCCTTAAGAGCATCTAACCAAAACCGACGAAGTGCTCTCATCATTCTTGAGACTGTTTCACTCCTAGTTGTTACCAGCACTTTGCTTCCTAGTGCCCCACAGTGCAATGGTGCAAGCAAATTATCCCAGAAGAACAATTCTTCATTCCATACATCATCAAGAACCAGAAGGAACCTCTTCCCCAGCAATATATCCCTAAGTCGGCTTTGCATAAGATCAAAATTCGAGATATTGACATTTTTCCTTGTCACAGCTCTGATTATCTCCGTCATAACACCTGCAGCATCAACTCCTAGGCCCAAACAAACCCAAATCTTAAGATCGAAATAGCTCTCCACCCGTGGATTTCGGAAGATGGCCTGGGCAAGAGTCGTCTTCCCGATACCACCAATCCCAACAATGGAAATTACAGGAACACCATCACCGCCACTGCAGATCAGCAGACGGATGATCTCTTCCCTTTCGGTGTCTCTGCCGTATACAATCTGCTCATTACGAATAAATCCAGTTATCGAAGAAGGTCGGTGCTTTCTCGCTCGAACACGCCAATTTTCCCCAATATCCAGCTCGAGGTATTGCCGGTCCCGACGGATCGCATCGAAGTTCTTCCTAATCTCGTCAATTCTCTGCACCATTGCCCGAGAATCACGGAGGTCTGGCCGTTGCAAAGCCAACAAAGGATTCCAACTGCGCTTGCGCTTGCGGTTGTTCTCGAGATCGGATGAGGCGAGGACGGCTAGGGTTTTGAACTCCTCGCGTAGATCCTCTACGTCGACGACAAGGAGCTCCTGGTCTCTTAGCCAAAGAAGGATCTTTTCGTTATCTTCAACGGCGTTGGACGACGAACCGCGACGATCGGCGTCACAAAGTATGGCTCGGACCATCTCCGCTCTTGAACTGAGCTCATCGATATCTTTCTCCACGGAAGCGGCACGGGCGTTCTCGGACTGGATGTTGTTGAAAGTATAAATCAAGGCATCGATTATCTTTGAGACGATGACTGCGATAATCCTATCCGCCATGGCCGACGGAAGACGAAACTGACCAAGGGCAAGAAGTTTAATTCGATCGGGTATTTCTTCCAGATTCTGCGCTCAACCTTTTTCAAGGGAACTAAAAAAAAGGCAGGTTACTGCTTAGGAATAATACTGCGCCTTATTTATTAATAAGCATTAATTACTTTACGCTATTAATTACAGTATTAATTATTTAAATATAATTAGAAGCCCGTTTAGGATTTGCTTGCTCTTCTCAATCAATTCTTCGTAGTTCGCAGGTAGAGTTTTGAACAAGTCGCTAAAGGTTTTTTGCCTCCTTCGGCGGCATTTGCTTCACAAAAGTTCGACGAGGAAAACTGGCTGGTTGTTTCGCCAAAAGCTTCTTTGTCTCCTTCACTAAAGTTGGACCATGATCTTTCTGTTGGATCAGAAGTAACGATCGGAGCTCGCTCCTTGCCTAGGTAACCATCTTTCTCGGATTTCGGACGCTTCTTTGACTAAATCTCTTAGGAGTTGTTTGGTGTCGGATTTATGTTGGATTTACGATAAATCCTACGACATAAATCCGATACCAAACGGTTTTTTAGAGCTATATAAATCCCAGTACATTCCTCGGTTCGGTGAATTTGAATTTACTAACTATGGGATTTACGAGTTTGCGAGCAAGCTAACTTCCGTCGTGACTTCCGATCCGATCCTAGTTGAACCAGGGGCGGAGCCAGAATTTTATTCATGTGGGGGCACAAAAATTTAAATTAATTTAAAAACTCTGAACCTTTTTCATCCGGACTTGGGACCGGCATTGGTGGTTAAAAAAAAATTAATCGTTAGATTCATTATAGAAAGATAGAATATATATAATAAAACAAAAAACTTACATATCATCTATAATTTCTCCAGCTGAGTCTTCATTTTTTAAAATCGTTGTACAATCAATTCATTGTCGATATTATTGGATATATCTTTTTTCATATAAGTAAGTAAACAATCATTCATTCAGGAGTCTCTCATACGATTGTGTAAACAATTTTTTATAATATTCATTGCAGAAAATGCCTGTTCAATTGTTGTTGTAGCAATTGGCAATATCAAAGCAAGCTTTATAAGTAAAAATACCAAAGGATAAATATCATTTTTTCGAATCTCCACTATTTTCTAAGCAAGTTCTCCAAGTCCTTTTAAATTCTTAAATGTGTCGCTCGATCTCATATCAACAATAAAATTTTTAATTTAATTGTCTAGTATGATGAGATCCATTTCTAAAAAATCTGACGGATAAAATTTTGCTAGGCGTAGTTATCATTCTTTATCAAAAGTTGAAAATGACTAAGATTGATTCAAACATGCGACACACATTAGTCATTTTGTATTAATTTTATCAAACTTATTATTGAGCTATTGAAGTTGCATATCTATAACAATGTATGTTAATGTCTCCTATGGGTAGTGCTAGTTCACAATAAGCATACTAATATCTCCTAATACAATCCCTCTCATTAGAATGATAATCCAATATTTTATTTTCTCAATCCAGGATCGGCAGGGATATCAGCAAAATTTATTTCTACACTGCATTATTTGATTTGTGTATTGGTTTCTTCACATAACGTTTTGTGATCATCTCCTTCAATTTTTCTTTTGAAATATCTATCCATGCTAAATTAAAAGAAAGTAATATTAATAATTTGACCATAATAACATTCATCTTTCACAACATGCTTCATGCCTCAAATTGAAAAATTAGGCTTCAACAAAAATATTTTAAAGAGATGTAGCACTAAAGAAAGACCTATTGTTTAAATTGAAAATTTTAAAAACATTTAATACATATAGATGTGTTAAATCTGCACTACATATAGAGTAAAATTTGCTCTAATTGAGCACTACTTACATTGCTATAGAGTAAAATATGCATTACATGATTACATCAAAAACATAATAAAATGATATATTTAACGAATTTCATCATTTATGTTATGAGCATTCATAGCTAATAATTAAATTATTGTAGGTATTAGGTAAGCTTTTAGAGGATACTTTTAGTTGTCCCTAAATAATTAGTCAGTTTATCTTTTAAAAATTAACAATAATCATAAACGATGCAAATTATTTAGAAGAAGGTTTAATTCTATATAAATCCTTTAAATTTTTGCTATTTATAACTTTAATATCTTTATATTTTTATATGTAAACAATAAATCATAAAATATGTGACTTCAACTCATGATCTAAAAGAAATAATTTTCTTCTTTAAACAGATTTTTTGATTTGTGCTTTCATTTGAAACAAGTATTTTGTTGGTGCCTAGAAGATCTAAATTTCTGTAAAGCTATGTCAGGCTTAGAAAAACAATTATCTTAAGATAATGTGATCTGAAACTTTTGATTTCCAATTAAATCCGAAAAATTTAACACAAATCCCGAAACTCAAAAGTAAAGATAAATAACTTGAAGACTAGGCTAATAGTTAGGTAATAAGTTTCAGGATTCTTACGGAATAACAGGAACTTGGATTGTCGTGCATGAAGAGGGCAACTGAACTGTGCGTGACTGCCAACCGACGGTTGGGCGACTGGGCGACTGGGCGACTGGGCGATGTTTGGCCTTTGAGCACGAAGAGAGCGACTAGCGTTCGGTCGGGCTTCTCTCTAGTGACTAGTCTCTTCCGCCTCCGCTTATTAGCGTGTGAGATGAGAGGATAGTGGGACGGGATACAGAGGCAGCGGGATAGTTTTGGAGAAACAATGGGATATTTAATACATTAGGGATGAAAAAAGCAAAAAAAATATTATTTGGTTTATTCTGTAATTAATGAATAAATAAATGATATTAATAAAATAACATATTACCAAACTAACTAAAGTGCCTGACTTAGTGGGGTTGTGGGGACACATGCCCCCAGTGCCCCCACAATACATCCAACACTAAGTTGAACCATCAAATCATGAACCTCTCATTTTTCAGTTTGTTGTCAAATCCAGTTTTCACAACCTCGGATTTCTCAATAGTGTGATGCCAATATTGACATTGCATTTTTCACAGCCAAATTAAAATGTAAAAATGTATTGCCATTTGTTGTTCGGGTGGACGCTCGTCAGACCTGCAGACGGGCAAATGACATTCAGTTGGAGATGTCTTAATTATACTTTGCTATTTTACAATATGTTGCATTATTCTTGATTGAAAATGACTCGAATATAGTGCTTGAACATGTGTCGCACAGAGTTCAAATATGACTTAGAATTTTATTTGCCTGAGATTTGAACAGGGTTCAAATGGGGTTTTAAAGTAATAATATAACATTATAATGGCAAGTATTAATATAAAATAGAAGAAATCACTAATATAAAACATATTGCTTGAAACTTTTGATTTATATAAAATATATGAGAGAAAAGTTCATATTAATGAAAATTAAACACTCAAGCCATTTAATTTTTTTTAATCAAAGCAATGATAATTTTATTTGCCATTAAACCCCTACAATACCATAAAAGTATATGACAATTATTTATTATATTAATGTATAATTGTTTTATTCGGGTAGAGTACCATAAAAAATAATAATTGATAAAATCAATTGATTTGATTGTTAAAATATCAAATAATAATAAAAAAAAAAACAGTCTTAGATTATGGTTTAATTTAAGTCGTTATTTATTTATTCTTCATTAATGTTTGGTGGCACGTTTATGTAATTACTGGTAAATTTAAGGGTAAGATCATCTCCAACAATTCAACAAGCAACCGAATGGAGGCCCTCAAACGTGGCAACCGAACGCCTTTTTCTCCGTCATTTGATCGCGGATGGCGTCGCATTGTTCAACTGCGCCATTTTTTGGTCTCTACCGAACTTGCGGAAGAAAAGAGCGAAAGAAGAGGGCGACGGTTAGGGGGCAAAATGGCATTCGATTGGAGATGAATCACGACACTTTTTTATTTCAATGCATTTTGAAGTGAAAAATGAGATTTTCGGTTGGAGATGCCCTAAAGACTGTTAAATAGCTACGTTAGCTATGCTCGCCTGAAAATGCATTGTGCTTCTCGGGGAAGAAATTCATTTAAATAATTTTGAAGGGATAAAATTTATGTAAGAAATTGTTTGTAAAAGGTTCATATGCTCGTAAGATTTAAGTTGATTGAGCATAAATTCTAAGCATTTTATCCAAGTAAAGTGTTGAAATTGGAATATAACCCATGATTTAGATTGAATTTAGTCAAAATGAGCGACTACATATAGAAATTATGCATATTTGATTGAAAATTCTTGAAGAGATATCAAACATATTTGTTGCATCCTGAAATATTCGCAACAGTAGAGAGATATAGATTTCAACGTCTAAGTTTTATACGAAGATCCATCACACATTCATATAAGAAAGAAATAAGCAAGAATAGTAAAAGACATCAAAATTTTTACGTGAAAAATCATAAAAATGAGAAAAATTATAAGGGCCGACCAAGTAAAAATAATTATACTATGGTTTATTGTTGATTAAAAACGATGCTCTTCCTTAGGGGCAAGACCATAGCATGATGTAGCAAATATACTTCATATAGAGAAAATAAACTTTGGTGGATTCATATTTCTAGATGAAAGAACGATTCCTTGTTAGGGCCCACTCATTTAAAATAATAAGTGATTAATTGTTAATAATAATAATAATAATAATAATATAATAAATATAAGTTACGATAGTTAGAATTTAAATCCAGTTATCGAAGAAGGTCGGTGCTTTCTCGCTCGAACACGCCAATTTTCCCCAATATCCAGCTCGAGGTATTGCCGGTCCCGACGGATCGCATCGAAGTTCTTCCTAATCTCGTCAATTCTCTGCACCATTGCCCGAGAATCACGGAGGTCTGGCCGTTGCAAAGCCAACAAAGGATTCCAACTGCGCTTGCGCTTGCGGTTGTTCTCGAGATCGGATGAGGCGAGGACGGCTAGGGTTTTGAACTCCTCGCGTAGATCCTCTACGTCGACGACAAGGAGCTCCTGGTCTCTTAGCCAAAGAAGGATCTTTTCGTTATCTTCAACGGCGTTGGACGACGAACCGCGACGATCGGCGTCACAAAGTATGGCTCGGACCATCTCCGCTCTTGAACTGAGCTCATCGATATCTTTC